TTTACTGTAGCTGGTTTTTCCTAAACTTCATCATTGGTATCTTTGAATTTTCACCAACCATTAGTACTGGTTTGTGTATCTAGTATTTCTTTGTGTTTTCATCTTCGAGCCGTCACTGAGATCAACTGTTAAATTCGTAATGGTGTCTCTGCAAAATTCTTGTAAGAATTTCATGTTATCTTCATATTGATGTGTGCTAACGCCGTATTATCGTTGAAATCAGGAAAGGGAATTTTAAAATAGATCAACACGGATTTAAGTTTATAAACACCATTTGATTATATTTAATTAACTACGAATTTGCTTATATTGCAGGTTCTGTCTACATACTAATGGAGTGTTCTGGTCTTCACCGAGTCTGTACTCCGACTGCCGACATGGCCCCGTCCGTGGAACCGTAATACATGCATCGATGAATGCTGACCAACGCACTTCCTAATAGCGTCACGTAGGTCACTGCGTTAGCCACAAGAATACAATACATCGCATACAGGGTGCTTATTATATACAGGGCAACATACCCCCGAGTTAAACGGAAGCAGTCCCTGCGACCTTCGTAAATACAAATTACTCAAATCTAAATAACATCTAAAATAATAACATGTTTGCTTACTATTTGGCGCGCTTAGTATACAATATCGCCACATGCGCCTTTGCTTACTTAAATCTATTTGTTAAATGTTCTATTAATACATGTTCAAATTACAAATAAGTTATAATAATATATTTAACGGAGTTTCCGCTACAACATCTCGTGGTTGGTACATTACGGGTTTTCTAGCGGTATATTTAACAAACAGAATAAAGAACTCAAGAGAGTTATGAGAATGGTCAAGATAATAATCAGAGATATGATAAGATATAGGTTGCTTTTTTTTGGAGTATAATTTTTATTTCTTTCAACTTTTATCAGTTCCTCGATTTCTTTTAAAGATTTAGAATGCCGTGATAAGTCTTCTAGACCAATGCCGTTCTGACTCTCTGAAAAATTACGTGATTCAAAGAGGTCCTGAGAAATATTTGTTACTAAAAGAGAACCCTGTCAAATAGAAAGTCTGTCTAATATTGGACCTTTTTGAAGCCCCGTAACAAATTTATCTTTGAGTTTCTCTAATAGGTGACTACCGAATTTGCAATTCATGGCTGCTTTCTTAATATATACATACCATTCATTTATAGATTGGTTGTTGCTTTGCTTAAGTTCATAAAATTTTGTGCGTTCCCGAAATACTGCTAACTTAGGTGAAAACTGTTTTTTAAGCGTATTACAGACTTGCTCGTAACTTAAAGTATTTGGTAATATAGGGTCGCATAATTCCCTCAACACTTTATACGTTTCGGCTCCGATTACTGTAATTAGTACTGATACTTTGCGACAATCTTCGACAAAGTTGGCTATAAAAAATTGATCGAGCCGTTCGATATATAAATTCCAGTCTTCGCCGGGCTTGAATTCTGGCGCCGTGCCTATGCTTCTCGACATTGTTAGAATTGTTTGAGGACAGCTAACGTTTTCTGCTTCTTCGTTGTTCGCCATGAACACGAGGTTTCAAACACGAGTGTTAAAGTTTTTAATCTGTTTTAATCTTCGTCGCCACTGTTATGTATGACACCATGTCAAAACATTGTTTAGGGTAGTAGGTAAAGAAACATATTTAATTTATAACGGTTGAAACTTTATTTAAACAAAACATGAAAACGTGAAACATACTGATGCTATTTCCAAAACAATGAGCACAAGGAAAAGAATAAATCATAGTATATCCAAGATATCTAAAACATGATTGCACGTAGCTTATCAATAGTATATATCCGACGTCAGGGACGTCGTATATATTACAATTTTGTATAAATTAATATATAAAATAATGATTGTTACGAGTGTAACAGTATTTAATAAATAATTGAATAATAAAATTATACATGCATTCGTATAATCATGACCATGTTATTTCAAATAAAATACAAAGTAACATAATTAAAACATTGATTTACCTGTTTGATTTAATTCTCCTGCAATTCCCTTCCATATTTTTTCTTTCCAAGTACTGTCACTATACTTAGAATTACTTAAGTCATACAATTCAGTATGACTTCTTATTAGTTCGATTAATTTTTCATTGTCCATGATGAAATGTACTTGACAGTGTCGTATGACAAAATGAATATTGACAACAAACGTAAGCCACTATAATAAATTTCGTAGTATGCTGAACACACCAGTCGAAACGTGTTCATACATGTCCGATCCGACATCATTCCGTCAAAAACCGACCGAGCTCGGACGAAAAATCGGACGAAAATCGGTCACTGACAATATTTTTTTAGTCAGATAGAGCTCGGAAAGCTCGGATCGGACGTGTGTGAACATATGCACTAGAAAACAGCAAGTTTATACTTCCGAGTTAACGGATGCCTTGACGGATCGGACTCGGAACGGACCCGGATCGGATATGTGTGAAAGGACCTTAACAAATATTAAAAAATTATAAATAAGTAGTTATTGTAGAAAAAAATATAACAAAATATTTTATGTTTAGTCTTAGGAAATATAACTCAATAAAATAACAAATCAATATTACTTATTACTAGATTTTTAGTGAGATAAATCTAGATTTATCTATAGCTATATAATCAGATTTTGGAGCTATCATTACATAGTCGTTATCGTATATGTTAACAGGTAAAGGTATGTTTTTATATAATATAAATTCATAATTGTTAACTAAAGGTATTTCTATGACGAAAATTAATACATTTTCTATATATACTATGTTAGTTGTAATTAGTCGTAACAATTCTGATATTCCTGAATTATCTAAATCTATTGGTATGCCTTCTCCTATGGGTAATTGTGTTTTAATATCTTTTAACTGGTTTTTAAGGGTATTTATATTTAATAAACTGGAGTAAACGAAACCTTGTAGGGCCATATTTATTATATTTAGTAAATTTTCTGTTTCAAATGCGTATTGTGTTAAAATTATATTTAATAATGATATTCTTTTTTCTAGTGCTGTTTTGAAATTTAAGATACCTATTGCAGCTTTCTCTGCTTACATTTCATGAAGTAGATAACTGTATTTGTCGACTAAATTAATTTCATTTTTATTTATTTCTAATAGCGATGAGTTTACGTTTGATATAATTGATTGCATAAATTGTATTTGTGCATTAGATAATTTAGAAACGCGTGAATTTGAAATTTCAAGATCTCTTATTTTACTGTAAAAATATTCTGCGTCGCTGTCGTCACATACACCGAATAGGACGTTAGATACTCTCCCAACTAAATTGATTAGACCTCTCTTGGTACGGTAATTGTTTTTTGGTTGATCTATAATTTTCATTACATGTTCTTTATTACTACTAATTTCTGATAAAAAGTTATATGCTTGATAATTATATTGGAAACAAAGTTGTTGTAAAGAATCTATCTCAAGGGATTTACTCATTTCACAGGACTCTTCGAAATCTTTAATCATGTTACCGATTTTATTGTATTTTTCATTATAGTTTGTAATATTAATATAGGTTAAGAAGCGCCAGTGAGAGTTGTATACGCATAAATTGTTTATTGTGTGAAAATAGATTCCTGATGGGTTGTATATTGGAGTTAGATTGAATGAATTTGCCATCGTTTTTCCAAAAACAATTCAGAAAATGAGAAGAAAAAAAAATGTAAGAAGATTGGAAAAACAAAATTATATAATACTGCTTTGAATATTTTAATAAACAAATTTATGAGTAATTATTATATTTGCATTGTGTGTTATGAATTATTGAATTTTAATTTGCAAGTTTTATTTCATTTCTGTGTAATTTTATTTCCTTACTGCCTCGTTGAATTGTTATATTTTTGTTGTTAATTAATTGTATTACATTGTAAGGACCCACCCATTTTGGTCCTAACTTTCCCTTCTGTTGGTGGTTTTTTACCTATACTTGGTCTCCGACTTTTACATTTACTTGTAGTTCTTTTTGATCGTATTTTTTCTTTGTTTTCTCTTTGTTTTTTAGTATATTATTTCTGGCTGATTTACATGTTTCCTGAAGTTTTTGTTTTAATTCATATGTATAATCATCGTAGTTATATCTTGCTTGCGGTGTTCGACTTAATGTGTGAGGGACTGTAGCAGGAAAACCGTAAACAAGTTCATACGGTTGATGGTTAGTTGTTGTGTGAACTGTTGTATTGTATACAAATATAGCAAAAGTTACATAATCATCCCAATCTGTTTGGTTTTTATTGACATAGTGTCTAAGATAGTCTACCAAAGTTCGGTGAGATCTTTCTAAACCGCCATTGGATTGTGGGTGGTATGGTGTAGTATTCATTTTTTCTATTTTAAGTAGCTTGCAGCATTCTTTGAATATTTTACTCATAAATTCAGTGCCGCAATCAGTTACAATCGATTCAGGTATGCCATGTTGACATATAAATTTTTCAACAAATGTTTTTGCTACCGAGTTAGCATCATGAGTTACTAATGGAAACGCCGCTGAAAATTTGGTTAGATCATCTTGAATGGTAAGTATATATGAATGACCTTCATTTGTTGTTGTTAACGGTCCCACAATGTCAAGAAATATTTTTTCGAACGGTTTTTTGGCCGTTGTTGTAATTACCATTGGTTGTTTGATAGTTCTGTTCATGCTTTTGTTTTGCTGACACGATTGACAAGAAGCTATGAATTTTTTTACATCACTTTTAAGTCCTTTCCATCGGTGATGTAATTTGATTCGCTTGATTGTCCTTGACACGCCTTGATGACCGCCAAGTGGATCATTATGAAATTCTTCGATTATTTTGAGCTTTTCTTCTTCAGAATATTCGATGTCGACATAAATAATGATTTTTATTTTTGAATTTTTGAAAATTTTCTTTAATAATGGCTCGAACTTTTTCCCAGTTTAGTTTATCAAGTTCATTGTCGACTCTAGATAATTCGATTTTTGTAATATTGTTTTCTTCGCAGAAAGTTCGTAGATTAATGATGCATTTATAAAATGTCATTATATATAATGTATATATAATGTCAGTTTTCATTCGCGTTTTGACGGTAAACCGATGGCCGAACGAACAATTTGCATAGAGGTCGATTTTTTCTCCGAGGGATTCTTCACTAGGACCAGTTTTTCGTTTTTCCGAAAAGTCATTATTTAAAACTTTTGTTTTATGTAATCCTGCAACAAGTATTATTTTCTTGACAACTCGATCCCGCCATGACTGTACGCTAATTGTATGCATCCAAAATGCATTCCCTACTAAGAGAAGATCCTAACGAATCAAGGGATATGATTATCTAAGTCGTAGCACAAAATCAAAATTTTTAATGTACATTACACCGGATCGTATCTACCGCGGTAGTGCATATTATATGTATCCGGTACGTATAGTTCGAAAAAAAAATTATTTAAAATCAAAATTTTGTACTACAGCTTTCAAAACGATATCATTCGACTCCAAATTACTTACTCTATGACCATTTAACACATTAAAATTAAATAGGTTTGTAGCGTGCCACGGATAATATTATAATAAATTTTAATATATTACAATATGTAGCAGGTGATCCTAGCCTTTTTATCTACCGTTATAAATGCAATAAGAGGTCAATACTTAACGAAATAAAATTTTATTTTTTACAGTTGGTTTCGATGAAAAAATTGCCTATGAGTATAATATTAACGAAAAGTCAAATGCAAAATTTTTACTTCTTGTTTGTCCACTATGCGCAAACAATTTTTGTATTGAGTATACATTTTTACTGCATTTAAATATTAACCATTTTCCAAAAGCACCAATGAAAAGGAAATATTTTGCAAATAATGTAAAACTGCTTTTTTATTCATACTTAACTATTTTTACAATATTGGTTTTTGTTATTAATTTTTCTTAATAATTTATAGGACATGATTACAAAAATTGCGAACGCATTAAATGATTTAAAGCATTGTGATATAGATCAGCTATTTTATTATTTAAATAGCTTTGATTGTAAATTTGTTGACTCCAATTCTCTTAAACAAATTATTGTCAACCAAATTTCGGATATACAGTTTCGAGTAACCAATAATTCTAAAGTATGTAACAATTCTGAAAAAAGTAACAATAATAATAATATACAAATAATATTTACAGAGCTTATCAAGATACAGCAATATCAACAATTTAATTAATTATATAGAGTCTACAAATGAGGTTGATACTATTTTGGAGAAGAATCATAAAAACATTTTAATATTTTCTAAAAACTTCGATAATTCTTCTTTCAGTAAAAAATTAGGCAAAAAACAAATTAGTCAAATCATAAAAGAAACCACAAAATTATGCTATTCAAATTCAATTCTTTATTACTGTAAATTTTTAAAATCATCATCAAATATTCTTCAAAATTCAAATAATTCTTTTTTTCTGCCTCCATTTTTAAATTTTTTTCAACCCCCCCCCCCCCCCACACACACACACACACATAATATTTATTCACACAATTTTAATTTCTCCAGACTAATATCATCCTCTATAACTGATTTAGATTTCTATATAACAACTTTATTCTTACATAATAACATTCCTAATACTAATGAGTAAGTATAAAAATTTTAAAAATATGTATTTGGAAATATAATTATATTAATATAATTATACTTTGAAATACATATTATTATTATTATACAGTGAT